TGGGGGATTACATCAGACGGTGGTGTTTATAAAGTTATACGACGTATTCTATTTGCGAAAAGAAATACATCGATTATGGAAATGAGTAATACAATGTTGTAAAGGCACGCATTTTTTTTGTGATTTTTCTATTTATTACTATATATGCTGTCAGTGGAACAATATTATTTATAGGGTGAAGGTGAAGCTCTGTCTTGCACATGTTTTTGCGACTTGTATAAGAACATGATAAAGGAATCTATGATACGAATACTAGTTTGTGTTATTATTATTTTTTTAACAAATAAGGTCGACCAGTACAAGAGTATGTTTGTGAGGCATTACTGTTTTTGATGACACAAGAACGCTGCCTTAATATTCTTTGGACCGCCAATTCGAAGAATTGTGCTGATTCGCGGCAGAACAGCTAATGGAAGGGAAACCAAACTTACCGAAAGGCTACACAATATGTAGTCCTATACCGGGTGTTCCGCTTAGAAATGTTTGTTTTTTTTTCCTGAAAACGACGAGAACGTCGTACTGGTGATTGTTCTCTGTTAGGCAATGTTTCCGTGGTGGTAGGAAGTTGTGATTGTTTGGGAGGAAACGTTGTCCGACAGTGAGCGCGGAGAATACATTTTTAGTCTGTTAATATGGACTGTTTGATGTACAGGACGGCCTACAAGGTTAGTGATTGTTATGTTAGGACGCTCTATGTCCTTGACTACAAAAGGGCCTTTCCATTGGTTGGTTAATTTAGGACGAACTGTGTCGTCATGTAAAAGAACGAGGTCATCCAATGGAAATGTCCTTAGGGTATACCTTATGTAGCAAGTCGTAGCCCAACTTGTAGAGTTCCGATTTTCGTGCGATTTCGTTTCCCACATCCATGATTGTCTTTTTCAGAGCCGCTGCGAATTGGTCTGCGAAGTCGTCGGATGCCAACACGGGGCGTATTGGAAGTTCGTGCAGCACATCGCTCCACGTAATTGGACATCTACCGTGAATGATGAAGAAAGGACTATAGCCTGTAGTAGTGTTTTTACTTCAGTTGCATGCAAAAACAATAGGCTGTAAAAAAAATCAGACTCTGTGTGAGTAATGTAGTTTACCCTTTTTATAGTTCTCACACGTATGGAAAAAGGATAGTCATGACTCGGAATGAAAATTCCTGAATACCAGAGTAGGCCACTCTCATTTTTATGGGTTCTTTTCAGCTCAGCAAGAGAATTACAGAAGATATCAGAAGGATAACCTTGCTCTTCTCCTATACTGAGGATATCTTCTGTCCTTCTCTATGACATAATAGGTTCAAGATAACGGTTTTCATTTGAGAACTCAAATAATATACACAACTTTTGAGGGTATTTCTTTGAGATAATGAAATAAAGAGTCTTTAAGGTCGCTGCACCCACTTATACCTGAATTTTATGGACAAATGAATTCAGCTGCGCAGATATAATGGCAGAAAGCAATTTTACTGCGTCATTACCTAACAAAGAGCATAAGCGCTCTCTATAATTACTTTATTTTATGTCTCCACATCGAGGGACACTTGCCTCGCTGATCTCTGTCTGGCCGTATATTTGACACTTAGTCATAGTGATACCTAATATTTAATGACATATTCTTCTTGGAAAGCAAAGGACCGATCGCCATACGTCGACTAGCATAAGAGCTGATCACTCTTCACATCCTACCGCAGCAACTGGCCAGCTACCCGCAGCTCACTTTTTCGTGGAGTTCTCGCGGAGCCAATACCGACGACGACGCTCAACGCCTCTCATTCGAACCTGCCTACTTCACACAGTGGGCAATGCGCATAAGTCTCGGCTCTGCCTAATAAACCTTGTAGCTTCTTGGGTTGTATAGACGAGAGGTTGTGTGGAAAAGAAAGCGGGGTGTTGGGGTTTGTTGGGGACACATTACTAGTATTTGCCTTTTTGGAAGTAAAAGTTATCTTCCTTTTACCACCACATCAGATCGAAGGGTGTACGAGCCTTCATCTGATAGTGTAACGGGTATGGTGGTAGGCAACAAGGAGATTTTAATATAAAATGGGGATTAACCGAGCGAGAGCAGCCGGAGGCTGCCTGGGTAGACGAACAGCTGATTGCTCTTATAATTGAGAACATCATACTATGTTTTTGCGGGGCGCGAACTGTTTAAAAAGCCAACCTATCTATTGCACAGCACAACCTTAACTTACCGTCAAGACAGGTGTTAAGCTTTGGGTTATATTTTCAATAGTATTACTTGTCTCAAATAAAAATAAGAAAGGATAGTAAAATCTCTCTGGGACCTCCACATTAATTGACAGTGTACCGGCCTTCTTCCCATGGAGTAGCGGGTATGATTATGTGCAACAGAGGGATTTTTATATATTTACCAGTTACTTAACAGGTAGGGAAATGGGGACAAGACGAAGGGATGCAGTCCGAGGCTCGCTGGTAGACGAGCAGATGTCGTAACGATTTTCGGTGGAGACTCATGCTTGCCCTTTTTGAATTATAGCAGCTTGAATAGCCGCTCATGGGGTTGCGTAATCGTGGCACCGATTAAGTATAATACATCTCATTGTGTGTTGGAATTTTTCTTGTGGCATGTTACAAGCTATGCATTATTACTAAGTGCTCATAATGTGCCTAGAAATTACAGCATGAATACAATTGCAGGGTGAGCTAACCCTGGGATGGCCAGAGATCGGTTGGTTGTCGTTTTTTTTGTTAGCTAAGCTTTTTAATTTGCACAGAGAACTGATGAGTGGAATAAGATTACCAGATGAATACTAGTCGAATAAAGATTACCAGATGAATACTAGTCGAATAAAGATTACCAGATGAATACAGTGAATACCGTTCCGATTACACAGTATTACGAATACAGCAAAAATTAATACAGCATCCAATCGAGACACAGAAGTGAACCAGATTGGTCTACATCGAGCCGAATAATATCGAACGAATGACAGCTGCTGGTCGCGTTAGAGCGAGTTACACAGCACGGCTGCAGGTTGAACGGACGACCGCCAGATGTGAGCAACTGCTACCGAAAAACAGCTTGAAACCTCGGAAATTGCATTGGGGGAAACATTAGCATTTGTTGCTATTTGTGTTCTCATACTTCCAACTTCTTGTAGTTTCGGCGGAAAAGCCGACCCTATTTCTTTTCGATTTTGTTAGTGAGAGTACATTTGACTAAGAGAATTAGCCTTTTATTCATAATTCCTTGCTTGTTTTTTCCCTTACATAAGTGCCTGTATTTATGTATTTTATACATTTTCTACTAGAAACACTATTCTAGGAAAATGCCTTTGTTGTGAACGACAGATTAGATACAGTAGAGAAAAAAATACAGTAGAGAAAAAAAGATTTGCAGGACTGGATCTATTATGAATATCGGAATGTTCAATAATAAAGGTCGAGTCTATTGTAGAAATGGCTTAAATCGTCTGAGCTAAACTAGTACTTGGTTTGCACATAGTTATTCTATTGGTCAGAACCTACAGTTAATATCACCGCAATCAGTCGGGGTGGTATCAAGAGGCGTGCAATGAGTTCTTCGCGATTGTCTCACCAAAGTTGTTCACCTTCGAAGTCGATCATTAACCGATCACTATTGGTGGAACAAGGCGGAGAAGAGACTACAGACTAGGTCTATCCGCCCATCCTGACACCGTTCCCACTATTTTGATGACATCAGCTGCACATTTGAATGCATCTCTGAAGTGAGATTGAGCAATTACAAGTATTCTACCGATTATACGATCTAGATAACTTCCTGATACTGCCTCCTTATGTCTCATTGTTTGGAAGTTCGTCATAAATAGGTCGACAATGGCCTACTAAGGCTTCCTACCATGAACAAACAGTAACGTTCCTACGAATGATATGTCGTGATAGCACCAGAAGGCTTTCAAATTTGCTTGCCGAACGTCCATGAACAACTATTGCATAAACTAAAAATTTTCAGGCTTTTAGAGCGTTTTTTGGACTGCTTGTAGAAAAGTTTCGGAGCGATCTCCAGGTTTATGCGATTTTTCACGGATCGAGGTGATACAAGCTTGGCCTGGGTGACCATATAAGTCATACTGAGTTGAGCGCCCTGCTATTTTTCACATTTTTGCTTAATCGAAATACCGTAAGCTGAACATTGATATTTCTGTAAGAGATAGGTTCGTCCAGCATGGCAACGAGAAGATTTATTCTGAGATTTATTCTGTCAACAAACAATAGAATCTTAATTCAATAAATATCCATAAAGTCAGAACAACAAGTGACTAGACGAGACATATCACAGAAAATATCACAAATCACCCGAAAAGAGCAAATTTTACAAGCAACGAGAATCCTGAATGTGTCAATTGAAGTATTCCTAATTTCTCGGAAGTGAGTTCAGCTTCAGGCTCAATACCCGTTTAGTATTCCTAATTCTCCGAAGTGAGGTTCACTTCTCAGGCTCAACTACCCGTTTAGTCCCGCCAAAAGTAAAGACTAGAGAGGGACGGGGCCAGTTTTGTGAGTTTCATTTCTTCACAATTGAAGTACTTGATGAGGTGTTTCTTGATGGAGGCACTGATCTATGTTGAAGCAGACGGTCAACTAATGCGCCGTCATTCTCACATGATCGATCCCACCATGTCGTGAAATCTGCAAAAGGAATATTCTTGGGATCCTAGTTGACTGGGAGGGGGTGGGGTCATGGCAAATTGTGCTGATAGATTAGTGCCTTCCATTTGAAGACAAGCTGAATTGTTCACACAGCGATCGAAACGCCTACATGCACCGCTACATCGGATGACTCACACATGCCTGTTGACAACCACCGTAGCTGTAATGATATGACACTTTATTGCGTCCATTCATGACACATCGCCTGCGTTCAGTTGTGCTTGGAAGGGGCTTCTGCACCTCTTTCTAGCTCGTGTTTCTTAACGAGTTACACTTTTGTGAGACCTGTAGACTCCTATGAAGCTGCAAAAGCTACAAGCGAGCCACTTTGGTGACAGGAATTCAGAGGTCCTTCTCATAATGTTTCCTAAGCTTTACTATTCCACCGAACCGAACAGTGCCCTGACCTCCGCTACAGTGACTACGAGAGAAGACTGAGGGGAATCGGTTTAAACTAGCTCTAGAAATTAAAAATCGGGCCATGTCAATCCCTTTCCTGGGGTGCATTGAAGATTGGGATCATCAGAGGCAAATGGGATGTATTGAAGCATTAAGGCCTTTCAGAAATTCTTCATAGCGATGACCACAGAGTAAACAGGAACCTTTTGTAGTCGTCCACTGTACTGTAGGAAAGACTCACCTCTGATGGAGAATGTTGGTCGTGGCTTTTGCCATAGAAGTCGACAGACCTAACAAAGAATTTATTAATCGAAACCATGAGCTCATAGAAAAGATAGGACGATGAACCGAAAAGTCACCTGGCAGAAGCCCCATGGACGCTCTGTTGCATCGTGAGATTTCCCGTTCAAGAAAACAACTTTATATTCTCGCCTCCAAGAAAAGTATTCCCTGAACAATTTTGATTTCTTAGTAGCGATGAAAAGGATAACAAGTACATTTTCTTACGCGTAAGCAGTTTTGTTCATCATCAGGTAATGGAGATACGTGGCCATGTCTTCTGTGCTGTTGAAATCGTCAGCAGCTATGAATGAATTCGGAGGGACAAACGGCTCCACTACTGATCGCTTAAAAACATGTCTGAGAAAAAGATGGGAATAAAGTGCAAAACTGATGCCCTCTAAGATTGTTACCATTAAGCCCTGGATCTCTTAAAATTATGTACCATTCCAGAAATCTCGGAAATTTTATCGTTGCTACTTTGTCTACACGGGGTGGTTGAGAATTATGGGCGCCTTTCTTCTACATTTTCCCTGCATTCAGACTAAGTTGGTAGTTCCATCACGGATACTGCTTTGAAGTGCTTTTTACTGGCGCGGTACGAGAAGTAGACCCTCTCACCTTCAGCACCAAAGGCACAATATCTCGTTGATATCCTTGATTCCAGAGCTTCTCGGTGATATAATCCTTACAAATTGAGTTTTCGAAGGCAATGTAGAAGTGGTAGCTGAATAGTGGCATTGAAAGTTGAATATCAAGTGTGGTAGAGAAGTGTGAAAGTACTGTAAGGAGTAATATGAAGAAGCTAAGAAGCACGGCGTGAACCAATCTTTTACAGCCATTTCTCAAGAATCACAAGCGTGCTTGCAAATTCACCTCTTCGCTCGTATAGCGAATCTGGTGGGTGGTGTCAGGAGGCGTGAAATAAGATCGTGGTTCCTCAGCGCTTTTTAATTTTTTCTTGTGCCAGCCATCACTGGTGGGAAACCCATCGTGAGCGGGCTCATTCCATGCCCCTAGCACCTCCTCGCCAAAATTCGACGGTTTCAAGTAGAGTCATGGACTACGCAAACGAAAGGGAAACAAGGTGTGAAATGTATGCCTCTTTTACCAATGATGCCATCCTTAGTCAGCAAGGATTGGCTGCAAAGCCTGCTACACACGGTGACGTAGGAAATCGTCAATAAGAACTTTTCCTGATCAAACCGATGCCTTTCTCCAGCAACCAAGTACGTTCGAACGCACCCCTGTGTATTTTCACACACCAAGGCTAGTGACGCCTGGTAGAAAATTCTAGCAGCGAGCATGGTTTTTGTGTCCAGTATTGCATAGCTGATTGGCCTTATGGGAACATGCCGTCAGCCTTGAAGTCAGATTGGTTTGGCGGTGTGAGCGCCTGGCGGTCTGCGATTGTTACCATTGCACCACCTTAAACAAGTTGACTGTAACTCACTCGTTGTCCAGCATGTTTTCGCAGGCTGCTCCGTGCGGACACTTCAATGATCCGCAACCGCCCTGTAGATGTCCACAGGGAAGTTCTTCTGAAGATTCATAACAATATTTGATGTTTCTTAGGAATGAATATACCATATCCACATTCTTCATATTTTTTTGTGTAGATCGGAAACACAGGCATCTTCTCACTCGACCTCAATGCCGCATCGAACCGATATATTATCTGCTCTTGCTTTAGGGGAGAGCAATGCGAGCACAAAGCCAGCAGCAGCCTTTCAGTTTTACCATACACACGGAGACCATGTTGGATTACCTAAAAGAGAATTGTCTTATGAGCTTGTTCGCGGCGATGTGTGACAGCCCGCCTGCTTTGTTTCGCCTTCAAAATCCATTAAATATCCATGTGGATGTGGTCCAAAATACTATGAGGAAATATAACAAAGATTCGTCGATACAAGCGAGGATCACAAACAACTCATAGCGTGAACAAAAGCGAATATGGGCGGCGCTCCGATACCGTATCCCTACCGCACCATAAGCACAGCTCGAGCGCACATTTTGCCACCCAACTGTGGGAGTAGGCGTGGTTGAAGCGACGAGTGGTAAATAGGGTTTTTCGAGTTTACGCAGTATAATTAATGTGGTCACATCAGAAGTAGAGGCGGAGGTGGTGTAGTGACAAGCGGCGCGCTCACCATCTCGCGCGATCCTGGGTTCGGAATCCCAGGTCGACACCCGCCCAGGCCAAGCCAACCAAGCCTTCTACCCTCCGGGAACGGTAAATTGGTACCAGATTCGTCTGGGAGGATAAAACACTGACTTGTACATCGGCTGGCCCCCGCAAGTCATTTGTATAACAGCACGATCGCATTTAGTAAGCCCACGTACGAATTCTGAATGGAAAGTAGAATGCGTGCCGCATCCCACAAAGGGATTGCTTAACGGCGAAGAATTTATCCTTTTATCATTTTAATCAGGAAGAAACCATCGGAGCGACCTCAACATCGACGGTTGCTCTGTTTCAGTTTGTTTCAAGCATTTGTGAACCCTTTATCGCTGGCGATGAGCGTTCCGGTGGGCAGAGGGAGGGCTGGATTGGCGCAGCGGCAATCCGTCTACCAATTCAATTGTTGCAGGTAGGCCAAGGGACAATAATCGCGATAGAACGCGCCAGATCTCGCCTCCACGTCAGTTTTGCTCGCTACGGAGGGCGGGGCATGTCAAGGGACGGTGCTTCATCGCGCGCTAGTACCTTCTTTCTCTGTTTTTATTTGCAAGTGACAACACTGTCTCATATCGTCGTTTTCGTTTTCCGCCAATTGTTTTCGCTTGCCTGCTCCGACAATTCGTTGAGAACGAGTGGCGACGCCACGAACCCGTCCCTGCTTGACACGCCCCATCATCCGCAGCGAACCAGACTGCATGTCGAGGAAAAAAACTGCGCATGCTGGCGAGATATAAAAAAGCGAGTGGTGAGAGAGCGTACAGATGCCAGATATATACATTAGCTTAGGGAAGCATACGCTCCAGCACTTCGGCATGAGCGCAAGGATGGTCCTCGCTGTCTTAAATAATAAGCATGTAACTTTTCTGCGAAGCGTGTTTTTACAAGCAACGAAGAAGGAACATCTTTGCTGGTTGGACCAGGTCACAAAGTGAGGAGTAAATGGGAAGCTGAAGCGATCCGAAGATTCTAAAAGTTTCTGATCACACTTTCTATTCCAAGGAGTCGGCCGAAAAGCTACTACTCACCTCTCCTTGAGGTCTCGACTGAAGAGCAAGTTTCACAGTATATCCGTAGGGAGATGAAGAGGGGGTGTCGTGTCGGAATCCCAATGACATATTGAAGAAATCAGGATACCTCATCTCGATGTCAGCATTTGCCGGCGATTCCTGGAGTGATTACGGTGAACAACCTATAGTGAAAACCTAATGTTGTAAGATGAACGACAAGGATGTGTTGAGGAATACCTGACTGAAGTAGATGACATACTGATCACTTCTTCGCTTGAATGCGGGGTCACTGTGAGCCATTAGTACCTGGAACAGGACTCTACATCCTTCACTCAAAGGCTACCTAAATGCGTTGGCATTGATGGGAGCTGGGAAAACACTTTGAGATACACATACTCGAACAATCATTACTTTCTTCCTTACTTGACAGTTGCTAGTGAATCCTAGGAGAATTATGGGCAGTAATGAGGCGGAGGTGGAGCAGTGGCAAGTAGCTAAGCAGTTGAGAAAGTGACTACGCCGCGGTCTCAAATCTGCTACTCAATCCCGCTGCGGCGCTGCCCACCAGGTGCCTCTCCTACCCTTCAGCAGAGCAGTAAACTAGTACAAGGCTCAGTCTGGGCGGACATGTTAACACCGACCCAATAACATCGGCTGCGTTTCGCAAGTCGTTTCGTATCGGATGAGGAGACCAAGACCTCAACTCTTTGTCCTCATTAAAGTTATATTGTCTGTCAATGAAGTGAAAGTAAATCACTCACGGCGCCTGCGTTTCCCACTCTTCCCTGTCATGAGTCAATTTACAATTCCATTCCGGGCAACCTCCAAGGTTGTCTTGCCCATGCCCAGCATTCCATGACAGTATCACCTGAGGAGGTGCTGGAAAAGGTAGATTCAAGAATTTGTGCGCATCACCGGCAAGGTGATCTCTTACCTGTTTTATCAACGTGGCAGTCTAACCGCTCAGCGAGTGAGATATTGCTGTCCGTCAGTATCTCTTCAACGAAAAACGATGGTCCATCACTAGGAGGAGAATTCAAATTCTGAAAAACCAAAGTACTAGTTTAGCGAGCACTCTTTGCTTTTATAGACTTTTTTCTGACTCGCAAGTGCACCTGAGATCCTTTCTTGCGTTATATCATTCTTTGTTAATTGTCTTGCTCAGTGCTTGCGCTGCTGCCGTTGGTTCGGTTCACACTCCCAGTTTAGATTCATTGTTTTCTGCGATACCAGTGACGGATAACCTCGGTAAGATGGATCTCTGCAACGAGGTGCTCATTGCTTATATTCGCAAAAGTGGTTTGGACGTGAAAAACGGATGAGAGAATCGGTCGCGACCGATCGTTTTATTTGTAACCACTGGATGACGGAATCTGCGAAGCCGACTTTCAACTTTTACTATTCGGAGAGAGTGGGAAGATTGAAGATGAGCAGTTTTTCGACCTTGCTCTCCACAGATCGACCCCTACGCCTCTTAGTGTATTGCAACACACCAGAGATTAACATTCACAAAAAAATGAGTTATCTGCTTTTTTCTGCTGTGAGTTCAAACTGTTGGCCAGTTTCTATATTCTATAGTGAGAGCGCGCAAGAGGCATCGGCTCACAGCCTTCCGATTTCCTTTAACGGGATGTGCCTGATACCATACGCAGGCGGGGGAGGGTGGAGTCGGTTGGCAAACGGCGGCCGGTTACTACGCTGTTCGAGGCTGAAATTCTAGATCTGATCTTCGCCGAGCCGACTCTTCCATCTCAAAACCGAAAAGGGATTGACAATGGTACAAGAGCTATTCGAGGCGAAGGTGGTTAGTGACACAAGGTGGCGCCGTTGACCACTCGCCGGCGCCGGCGTTCGAATCCCGGGTCGGACACTCGCCCAGGCCGACCAAGCCTGCACCCTCCGCGTCGTAAGCTGTATCACTTCGTCTGGGAGGATAAACACTGACTTGTACATCGGCTGGCCACCGCAAGTCATTGTATAGGCCACATCACATTCAATAAGCCACTACGATTCTCGAATGGATTCGTTGAATGCGATTCGCATCCACAAGGGATTGATCAACGGCGAAGACTTTATCCTTCCTTTTATGGCTTCATACAGTCTTATTTGTTACAACGATGTGAGACGAGATGGACTTAGCGCGATGTGAAGCACCATTTTTTTCTCTTTGAGCAAGCGACAAGACTGCACCATATCGTTTGTACCAGTCGTTTTCCACCAACTGCTGACGTCAGCGCGCTTCAACAACTGTTGAAGGACAGGCTAGCGGCGTGCCAAATCCAGCCTTGCTAACACGCCCAGTCATCCGCAGCGAAGAAGACTGTAACAACTCCGCAAAAACGTGAGATATTGAGTGCAGAAAAGAGGAGGCTATTCGCAATAGTAGCTTGCTTCTACGGAAACATTTTTTGCTCGTTTCTCTGTCAAGCCACGTGAGCACTAGCATTAGCCTCTACAACGACTTTTTGAGACACCCAGTGTTTGTGGTACTGCAGTCTCTTCATACTCAACACAAACCATGTGAGCTGGTTCGGAGGACTTAAAGACACTTCCCGCGACCAAGTGATCAACGAAATCCCTCCGTGCTTTGGCATTGTTGTCCGCACTCGCAGAGAATATACCACTTTCTCACTCGAAATGGCGAGATAACGAAGCTAGAGACGCGTGAGTTTTGCAACCGGTGCAACCGCATACTGTAATTATGCGAGACAAAAGGTCACAAGCGGAATTGCGTGTGTACATAGCGTTTCCGGAGGGTCGTAGGGAGATTTTCTATGCTCTTGGTCCTGGTGGGAATTGGTTGCACCCAGAATCTTGCTAGTTGGGCTTGTTCTCACGATAAATTCCAAAACGCCGAACCCACTGCTAAAGGGATCTGCGCTCAGGGTATTCCCAAACTTTTTTTCCGCTAGTTTTTGATGGGCTGCTGGTTCACGACCGAGCGTGCTACCTGTCACACTTCTCTGCGAGAATTGTCTTTGAGCAGCTTCGTTGAGATATCTTCTTAACAGCAGTGGTGACAGTGGTGAGACCTATAGTTGCTGCCTTTCTCCCTCCCACTAAACATATTCGATGAAAAAGGTACAGTCCTCATCACTGCGGACTGTCGGAGGCGGCGTGAGCAGCGCGGTTCGAGTCCGCGTTCGGCTCCCTTGCTCTACCAATGGCGATCGGGTAGAGATCGATTTAGGAAGGAAACAACCAATGATGGAAA